ATCTCTATATATATCCTATATATATATATATATATATATATATATATATATATATATATATATATATATATCGTCAAATAGAATATATATATATATAATATATATATATAGTCACAAGAATATCAGAGCGCAAATGCGAAAAAAAGAAAAAAGAAGAAAAGAAAACCAGGGAAAATTGAATTCAATTTTTTATCTTCTTTCTTACAACTCCCCCTGTTCAGAGGTTGTTGATGCTGAGATAGGTGTGAGACTTAGCGAAAGCGAAGTACGAGGACTAAGCGAAAGCGAAGTACGAGGACTAAGCAAAGCGAAGTACATCACACAGGTACGTCAAAGTACACAGACGAAAAATGAAATTGATTGCAAAATGCCGGTGGGTAGGCACCCCGACCGGTTTCGGCCGTCGCCACACGGCCTCCTCAGGGGGAAACCACCAACTTCGTCCCTTCACAGACCCGTCCATCCATCATTCCCTCCTCCGTTGTCGGACGCGCCGCCATCTCCGGAGGATAGCGTGTCCCAACACCGTCGGACCCAAAAGAACTACTTCGGCGCAATCATTATTCTTATAGGAATATCCTACTGGTAGCACGCCACACACATACCTGAGACAGGTCCTAACGCCTACGTTGTCAGACTGCTTCCGACACGACAAAGTGTACCCGGGTACTATGGTCCCCGAGTACTATGGTCCACAAGCCCGAAGGACCACGATAACCTCTGTCCAAGATGCCAAACGGTACACAACATCTGGCCTAGATGAGGCTCAATACTGAAAAACAATCCAAGGCCCGACCGCGAGTCTGGTCAGTGCAAGCAGGACCCTGTCCCAAACAATCAATCAAAAAAGAAAAAGGAAAAAGAGACAGGAAAAAGAAACACAGCAAGACAATCGTAGCCCTGTCCCTTCACACCAGCTGATGCAAGCAGAACCCTGTCCCAAGCAACCAAACAAAAACAAAACTACCCAAAAAAGAAACACAGCAAGACAATCGTAGCCATGTCCCTTCACGCCAGCTGATGCAAGCAGAACCCTGCCCCTATTCTACGCCTGTAGTCCTGATCTTCTACCATAGCGGATGAAAAGGCGCAAATGAGCAAACAGTCTAGATACCTCAGCCAGCTGTAATCTAAACTTAAAACTAGGTAAAAGACCACAGAGGCATACCACCTCGTGCCGAAGGCATTACTAAGCCAAATGCTAGCCTACCAAGTGGATGTAGGTTGAGCAGCGGCTGCCCCCACCCCCGTGTGTCATATCGACCCACTTGCACACAGCCAGAAGGCAAAGAGGCAAAGAAAAGAGGAAGGAAACAGCCCAAACAAAACAGAACAGGGGGCTGCAAAGCAAATCCTAAATGACAAGCCTAGATGACAAGTCCCACATGCAAACACCGCCCCCGGCAACTACATATATATATATATATATCGTCAATATATTGTCACAGAACTATTGACTAAGAGCATGAGCATGTGAAGTAGAAGAAGAAATAAGATGAGCAAAGAAAAGAAAAATGAAAGGAAAGAC